GTAGGCTTTTTGAGGCATGTGGCCTGTGCCAACATGGCCGCCATGCTTTGTGCAAAATTCTCCAAGCTTTTCCTTCCTGGAAATTGAACGACAGTAGTGCTGCAAAGCGCTGCAGGCCCAAGCCAGCACTTTGGACCCTGAACCCCGGGTTTGTTGACTTAAGTATTAAAGGAACCTCAAAGTCATGGTAACTTAAATCAAATCCCTTTACCAAGGCCCAGCTTATGCTTAAGCTTCAAGATAGCAGATTCCACTCTGCAGCAAAGCATGGAGTGCCCGCCTTGTCACGAAGAGCACGATGCGTCACCAGAGGAGACCGGGTGTGGATTGGTTCACATGCGTTTTACGGTTGAGGGTTCAGAGTTCATAGTGGTATGTCGATCAGAAATATGATTACCGCCCAATAGCTGAGCGTCAGGACGATCGGTGCTCTCGCGGTCAACCTTAGGCCCACAGAGCCTGGCACGAGTCTCAGACCGACCCAGTACCCAAAAACCCCTGAAGCCCCAGCACCCCATAGGCTCTTGAACCCGAGACCCAAATCAAAACCTCAGCTTCTTCGTGAATTATGACACTTCACACACTTCTTTACTGACCCCCGCAGCCCTCTGGAAGCCCATCAAGAAGGCCCGCAACTTCTTAAAGCCCCCCGGCCCCACGCGCAAGTTCTAAAAGTCTAAACCCCAAGTCGTCTTCAACCTAAACCCTTAACCCTACCTTGGGTCTTCAACCCTAAGCGCCAAACTTTACAACAGAGTTTAAGCAAAAAGCTTTACACTCAAGCCGCATCACTGGCAGGAGCTCGCGCGGAATTTGCTTTGCAGCCCTCGGACTCGACGAAGCTCCCTCCGCCGGCGGGGGTATGTGTCTTAAGTTTAGGTTTGAGGTTTTAGGGTTTAACTCAAGGTTTTAAGGTTTAAGGTTACGTAAGTTTTTAGGGTTTAGGGTTTCAGGAAGGCGTGGAGAGAAACAAATCCTTAGGTCTTAAGACCCTACAGACCCAAATTCTGAGAGCCCTCGGAGCCCTTGCATTCAGAGGTCAAGACCTTTTTTTGACTGTTGTTCCATGCTTAGGGTTTAGGGTTCAGGGGTTCCCTCAGTTCCCCAATACCCAGCCTTTAAACTTTTTGGGTTCTTATAGCTTGGTAGGCATCGGAAAGATTAACCATATAAATCTGTGGTTTATTGGGGGAGTAACTCCAGGGAGTTGCTGGGGCATGAAGGTCTTAACCGCAAGCTTTTAGCACCAAGGTCCTGTCAACCGAAACCCGCGCCTCCAAAGCTGCTAACCCTAGGTCTTCAACCCTTGCAAGCCCCTTAGCTTTGTGGTAGAGGTTGATAAGCAGTTGCTACCCTGGATGGCGGGTTGCAGTTGAGTACTTGAGGCCTCGGAGGTCTGACCTGAAGGTTTAGGATTTGAAGACGGTATTCAAAATGACTTTCTCTGAATCATCATCGTTCCTTCCAGGTTTGGGTTCAGTTTAGAAGATGGGCGTTAAGTCTTGTTAGATCCTGGCTTGCCAGACAGGCTCCAGGGGCGACATCTCATCTACCACTTCCTGTGAGCCTGCAGGAGGCTTATAGTTGTAGGATTCTGAACTTAGTGATGCTTCCTTTCCAGAGCGCCCAATGTCACAACACCCATGAAGCCAAGCTCAGCCAGTTTCCAAAATTACATGGCCTGCTGTCGCGGAGCCAGTTTGTAAACCTAACTGGACCCTACGAAACCTACCTTCCATAAGGACTTGTATGAACAAGATCATAATAAGGATTGGGGTCCAGGTAATCCCTAAACCCTGACCCCCCCTAAAATCCGCGACCAAAGTGACCAGGCTGGTGACAGCGGGCGCCCCAGCGCCGGCCGGGGTCCGCGAAGCCGTCCGCGCGATGCTGCTGGAGGCCGCCCGGAATCCGGTATTAGATTAGGTAATGATATTGATATTAGGGTTTAGGGTTTGAGGGTTTAGGGTTTAGGGTTTAGGCCCCGTAGCGAAAAGAGACCACTTGAACGATTGTTCTCTTCAGGGGAGGGTCCGTAAGTGCAGTGACACGTCAGGGACTTGGGCTTTAAGTTTCATTGTCGAGGGAGACGAGTCTTTGTTCCATTCGTTCTAGTCGCAATGAGCCTTTATATCCTAGACATGACACGACAGTGCCTTGATTGGAGTTGAGATGCAGGCTTTGGGCTCATCTGCTTTCAACTTGCTTTGGGGGCTACCTCCGGCAGGTGTGAGCCTCACCAAGGAAGCATCGCCAGGATGATAGCTTTACGGTTTCGGTGACGGTGAGGTTCATGAAGCAGCATCTTGCTGTGTAGTGATGCTTTTGTTGTCATGTTGAACGGTACCGTTGTTTTCTGACAGCAGCTTCTCATTGCGCGATGCTCACTGCAGCACTGCATTGCTATGTGGCCCTGGGATTCCAGCTCACGAAGCCCAAAGCTCGAAGCCCTAAACCCGAAACGCCCCCGATCAACACAAGTGGGCGAGAGGAACAGGGGCCGCAAAAAAACAATAAACCCTAAACCCTAAACCCTGAACCTGAACCCCTGAACCCTCCACCCTAAACCCGAAACCCAAAGCCAACAAAAAAAGCAGTCCCCCGCCGAAGCCTGGCAGGAGGAGCTGGAAAGTGCTGACGAGATTCAGGCAAACCTGGGTGCTTGTTAAGGAATTTAATTTGAGTTGGTAAATTTAAGTTTGTATAATTAAGAAACCACAATATAAACTATAGATCCCGATTATGGTAAGTAACAAAAACCTAGAAACGTGTTGCCTTTTCCACCCTGTGCTTTACTGTGGCTGTGGTGGTCGTCCTCGTAGTGGTGGGAGTAGGGGTATACTCCTTGTCCACTACTTCCCTGTACTACTGCTACGAGCACCTGCTCCTAACTGCCACTTCTCCTACTCAAGTACTGCTGCTGCTACTACGACTACTTCTCCTCCTGCTGCTGCTACTGCCGCTACTACTGCTACTCCTGCTGCTGCTGCCGCCCCTCCTACTACTTCTACTACGACGACGACGAGGAATACAACTACTGCTACTCCTGCTGCTGCTGCTGCTACTACTACTACTACTACTACTACTACTACTACTACTACGACGACGACGACGACGAACAACTCTCTGCAACTACTCCGCCTTGGCCTTGTCCGAAAGAACTTTTTGACGCCGAATGCTAAAACACTTGAACTCTGGACCCTAGGCTGATCCTCAGGCCGGGGCCCCCATCCCATCCCAGTTCGTTGGTTGAGCACTACATGGGTAGTTGTCAAAATTATGGCCCCTTTCTTGGGCACCCTAAATATTAGGTGCCGTATTATAATAAGGACCCAAAAATGGACCCTGATTTTGACAGCCACCCACATGTTTAAGCTCCACGGTCCGATACACTGACGATTGTGGGAATGCCCTTCTTTCACTCAGAGTCGTTTGGTCTCGTTCTTCTTGCTTCGAGTTGTGCCTGCGAGCAAAGAAGCAACGGCCAGGAGAACTGATGGAGACCCCAAGCATCGGGGCCTGATTGAATCATTAGCAAAGCTGGTTGTTAGGGTTCCTTACCGTACGTAAGTGTTTTAAGTATGCGATACAATGTCCCAGAATCCAGTTCTGATCATTGACTTTATTTTAAATCTATTTTCATCCCCTGAGCCCGACGACTTGAATCCTAAATGCAATCATATACTTGTTGGTCGAGGGCACATTCATAGCGGCATCACATCTTCGAACCGAGCGACCCTAACCCCTAAACCCTGAATCGTTTGCCCCAAACACCGAAGCCTAAGCTCTAAACCCTGAAGCCTGTACCCAAACCTTAAACCCTACACCAATGAAAGTTGCCAGGCTTATGAGGCTCTATCCATTCTCGGTGGGCAGGAGGCGAAGGCTGGCTGGCTCTCGCCTGCCGAGGCCATCTTCCGAGTGCTCAGATCTCCGACCTTTTAGTGTTTTAGGGTTTAGGGTCCAGGCTTTAGGGTCTGGGCTTTAGGGTCTAGGCTTTCGGGTAGTTTAGGGTTTAGGGTTAGCGCCATGGACGGAGAAATTCAAAACTTGTAGAGCCCAGGGCAAAGGCTCAGCTCCTGGACGGAGACCGACGTTTTCGTTCCTAAGCTTCCGTAAGGCGCGTCGCCTGGCACCCCGCTTCCTGCAGCTCCTGGAAGATAGATGGGAGAGGCACGGGCTAGGGTTGAGGGTTTAGAGGTTTAAGGCCTAGGGCTTCGGGTTTCGGGTTTGGGGTGCATATACTTTTAAGGGTTTTTATCAGCGTTGCCATCACGGTTTCTGTAAGAGTTACTATAACGGGCTTGTATAAGTTTTGGTTTGAACAACATGCGGCATTGGGGGTTTGGGGTTTCTGGTTTCGGGGGTTTAGGGTTTAAGATGCCCCGGCTTCATCTAGTAGACTTTTGGGGTTTAGGGTCTCGGGTCTAGGAGACATCAAGTCACGAACTCCTAGTCCCCCCCAGCAGTTTCCGATAGAATGAGGCTAGTCGGGTGTGCTGCTGGTATTTTGTACTCTTGTCCATCTTTCTTCTACTGCAGTATTGGACAATGACAATAGTGATTCAATAGTGAAGATCACAAGTGTCATTTCTGGCGATAAGTACGGTTGTTGACACTGTCATTCCTGCCGTGCAGGCAGCATTTTGCACTCTCCGCTCTGGGCGACCTTTGTCTGCGTTGGGTTCAGGCCAACCATGAGGGGTTTAGAGCTTTCGGTCTTTAGGGTTTAGGGTTTAGGGGGTTAGGGCTTAGAGCATTGCAATTAAGGCATTCGGGCCTCAGAAGCTTATGAGGGAAGCTCGGGAGCTTATCGTTGGTTCCAGCATGTTCCAGCCGGGCGAATCCCTGCAGAACGGGCTGTTGCTGTCTACCTCAGAGGCCCAACTCATCTTCAGCGTCTTCGGAGGTTTCCAGTAGAGTGTATCAGGGCACCCTAAGGAGTACTCGACTGCCGCCAAACACTCAAGCCCTTAATTGGCTTGCATGTGGCCAGCTGCATGGTTTATGACAGCGCTCCGCCATGGCCTCTGCAGACGCCGCAGACATTGCACGGGACATCCGTGCAAGCCGTTTGTGTTGAGACGCCCTGGAGATGGAACTGTTGTGGTGCCGCTTGGCCCGAGCGACTCTCGCCTCTGGAACAATGCGGGGTGTTTTTCGAAAGCTTACTCGAGCAGGGCTATGGGGCACCGGTGGCTGCCGGGGAGTGCCGAAGAGCGGAGGGGTCTCCGCAGAAGACCAAAGAGCCTTCCGGGATCGTCGAAGCAGCTTCGTCTTGGTCCGAGGGCTCCGAGGGGATCTTCGATCTGCTGCTCCAACCAGGACCCGATCTTCAGCAAGCTTGCCAGGTGCTCTTCTCGGAGTACCAGTGGGGCTCCGGGGCCCGGGTCCTTGAAGTCTTGCTGCTTTATCAAGAGGGCCTTTTTGAGTGGCTCCCGGCTTTCCGCTGGCTGCTGGCAGAAGTCCTGCCAGCCATGTCAGCTCCCTTACATATACGTCAGTTCAAAGTCAGCAACACTACGAGGCCAGACCAGTTGCCGGTGTTTGCAGCAGCTTTAATCGTCGTCGTGGCCTACCACAAGGTACACCACTTTGACTTCAGTGCATATGCAAGGTACGCCCGCAGCCAAGGGAGCGAAATGCTGGGGCTTCTCCACTTAGGCCATGAGGTGCAGTGGGAGACGGAGGGTGAGATGGAGGACCTGGGATCCTGGGGAACGATCCGAGCGGATGGGGCAAGAGCTCGGCAGAAACGGGATCTGCTCCACTACTTTGAGGATTATCAGCAGTTTGATTTCGTGCTGAGGAATCACTTCTCACCAGCCTATGCTGAGCGAAGCGTATATCTTCCATTCGGACCTGGTTGGGGCTGGATGATGCATGGAAAGCGGTGGCTACCCAAGGCCTCACTGAGGAGAAACTTCTGCCTGGCGGCCTTGTGGAGGCCTTTGGACTTCGAGTATCACTGGGACCGTGGTAAACTCTTGGAGTTGCTGTCTTCGGAAGGCCAGGAGAGTCTCTGCAATAGGACAGGGCAGTGGGTCACGAACTATGAGGAGCAACTCATGGACTCATCGGTATCTCTGTGTCCATTTGGGAGCTCGCCTGAGACCAACCGACTTTGGGAATCTCTGCTTGCTGGCGCTGTGGTTGTCATGACCCGAGCCACCTTCGTCACAGCGAATCTGCAAGCGCCCTTGATCCTGCTCAACAGCTGGCAAGAGCTCCCTGCGCTGCTGCAGACGCTGCGCAGTAGTCCTGGTCTTTTAGATCAACACCAGCAACAGCAAAGTGAGTGGTTCAACGCTTATATGCGGTCCATCCGTCAGAATCTGAGGGCCCTGAGCCAAACAACGGTGCTACCCAGCCTCAGATCCGGAGGCTTCGAGACTGAAGACCACGCCGCAACTGTACTGCTCCCCCAGGAGGGAGGGCTTGGGGCAGCGCAGCTCACGGAGCAGGAAGCAGAGGTGATCTCGCTTCGTCGCTCCCGGTCTTTTGGTGAGACCAGCCACCTGAGCCCCCTTCTCGCATCGCTCGGTCCGGTCTAGGGAGAGGTGCAGAGGTCGACAAAAAAATGTCAGGGACAACTCATCCTCAGGGCTCCTTACCGTAGTTTTGGTACAATGTAGCTCAAAACACTATTCTGACCATGAAGGCCCGTATCGAACTCCTTCGTTGCCGGCCCCATCCACTCCACGGCCGATGAGAGTTGTTAAACCCCGAAAACGAGAGAAACCTGCAAAAGCACACGCCGCGTTGCATTGATATGAACTCCGCCCTCTGGAATCTTCTCGTTCCGCAATGCTCCCGCCAGGCGGAGCTCGTTGAAGCCCAGACGGCGATCAAATTTGCTCTCAAGGCGACTGCAGCTCATATAGGGGCCTCAAAAATTGCATATACTATTTTGGATGTTCCTTATTAACACTATAGTATAAATGGCCCCAAAACCCTATTCTAAGTATCAAGGCCCCTATATCAATAGCAGAGCATTGCTGTGCTGAAGCTCGGTGCTGTCTCGGTGCCGTTCGTTCCGGTAATAAGTGAAGACACGGGATCTCACGCGGAGTGCCTTCAGCACAGGTCATGCGCAAGAACGCACAACAAGAGCCATGGGCCAAGCAGAGTGTGTTTCCGCCAGGGTTTAGCGTTGCCTTGATGTCAGGGGCTGCTTAGAGGCGGGTAGCATTTGCTGTGTTGGGTGGCTACTCGACAGGGATCAGCTCATTTCAAAAAGAAGCCTAAGGATAGCCGCCTCAATCGGAGTGTTTCGCAGGCTTGTGCCACACTAAATCCGAAACCCTGAACCCTAAACCAACCCTAACTGAAGACTCCCAGTCCGTCTTCCGACAGTGACCGGAGATTGGCCAAAAAGCCGTGGGCACTCAGCTACGGTTCAGATTTCCCCCTCAGCCTCTTCTGGCTAAGCCCTCAATCCTAAAGCCGAAACCCTGACACTGAAACCCGTCAACGCCCTCTGAAGCCCCCAAGCTACACACTTGCGGACTTCACCAAAACCAAAAGCCCTGAACCCTAAGCCCCAAATGGGCTGAGCCGTGTGTCTAGGGTTGCAGACTTTGGGTGCAGACTTCACAAAGGCCTTCCAAACAACTTAAACCCTAAACAGGGACTGAATGTGTAGGCTCTGAAGCCCACCCCTGCAGTCCTTGGATCTGTTGAGGGGTTGGGGTTTAGTGGCCTGGCGTGTCGGTTGTAGGATTTAGGGTTGAGCGTTTAGTGGTGTAGGGTCTAGGGTTTAGTGGTGTAAGGTTTACAGTTCAGGGTTTGGGGTATTTGCTTCCAAGCCTTGAGGCCTCGTGAATTGCGGTCTTCAGCTCGCATGCAGCATTCACAATGCGAGCCGGAAGCTGTAAACGCACATGAGCGTATAAATATATGTGCATACATAAATGTTTGTATATGTATGTGGTTTGGCAATTGTACATGCATATGTAAACGTATATGTATATGCATTTGTAAAAACAGGTGTGATATGCCACCATGTACCGCAGAAAATATGCATATATACAGGTACACACACACACACGTAGGACACACACAAACATATACATATACATAAAGACTTATATGTATAGGTGTATGAATATGTGCATACATGTACATATGTACATATATGTATGTCTGTATGCATGCATGCATGCATGTATGTATGTATTTGTGTATTTACAAATGTATGCATTGATAAACGTATAAATGTACATATATACATATGCATGTATGTATGTATGTATGTATGTATGTATGTATGTATGTATGTATGTGTAGATGTGTATCTATGTGTTCCATATGTATAAAAGTGTATATGTACATTTGCGTATATGTTTGTATGTACATATATATGTATATATACGAATGTGTATGTATGTATGCATGCAAGTATGTATGTAATGCGTCTATCTATACACAGATAGAAGTAGTACCTAGAATATATCAAGGCATAGAGTTTGTCCGCGCTTCCTTGTTGCTTCGTGGCGCATCTCCAGGCGTTCCGACGACGGAGTGCCAAAGAGCGCTCAGATCAAGGAGGAGCTGCGGTGAAGCGAGCCTCAAATCGCAAGTCTAACCATGGTCGGTTTAGGGTTTAGGGGTTTAGGGTTTAGGGTTTAGGGTTCAGGATGTAATGTAGGAGCCTGATTAAGACACCCTGGGTCTTTATTTGGGTTGCTTAGAATATGAATCCTACTATCTGGTTATAGGGCCAGGGTTTCTTAATCAGGTTCCTACATTAGGGTTTAAGGTTTCGGGGTTTGGGGGTTTAGGGTATGTAGTGTAGCATAATGCTTCATATTCTGAGATTTTCCGGGCTGCGGTTCTATTGATCACATGCGCTGTGGGACAGAGGCCGTGACGATATTCGAAGAGCACTTGTAAAGCCCCAACCCTCAACTCTAAACCTCCGCGGCCCGTGCTCCCATGCCACGAGCTTATCATCTCCAGTTTTTCTACCCGAAGTAAGCCCGCCCCAAGATGGGGGCCTTAATAGTTAGAATAGGGTTTTGGGGCCCATTATACTATAAGTACAAGAAGGACCCCCCAAGAAAGTATAGGTAATAATTAAGGCCCCTTTTGAGTTAGCAGATACCATGTCCATTTTCTAGCCACGCACCACCCCAGGGCACCCAAACCATAACAACCTATACCTCAACCCTAAACCCACCCAAGACGCGTAGGTAGAACCCTAGGAAGCACCCACCTGAAGACCCAAACCATAGCAACTTATGCCTCAACCCTAACCCCACCCAAAAATCCAAGCCCCAATACCCACATGTGCCCAACCCTTAACCCCAAACCTTATTCCTATTATAGATAATTGTTAAAGATGACCATTTCCTTTTTCTAGGGTTAGGGATAGGTTGTTATGGTTTGGGTCTTCAGGTGGGCTCTTCCTTGGGTTCTACCTATGTGTCTTGGGTGGGTTTGGGGTTGAGGTATAGGTTGTTATGGTTTGGGTGCTAGGGGTTGGTGCGTGGTTTTTAAAATAGAGATGGTATCTGCTAACTCAAAAGGGGCCTTAATAAATACCTATACTTTCTTGGGGGTTCCGTCTTATACTTGTAGTATAATGGGCCCCAAAACCCTATTCTAATTACTAAGGCCCCTACATCATAACTCCAGGAGCGTGCCCAGTTCCTGGCGCGCGTATCGCACGTGGCCCGACTGGGCTTTGCACGGTGCACTGGGCGGGAGCTGGAGGTCGGAAGCCGAGGTTCGCGTTCAATCAGGGTTCGAGTGGGGCTTAATTGGGTTTAGGCTATGGGTGTCTTAGGGTTTACGGCTTTGGGGTTTAGGGTTTTAGGGTTTTCGGGCTTCAGGGTTTTAGGGTTCCAGGTTTTCGGGCTTTAGGGCTTTATTGGGTTGAAGGGGTTTGCTTGTAGGGTTTTGAGCATAACGGGAGCTTTGGCCAGCCTTTATTTGCAAGGGCGACGTTTTTCTGTGTTTTATGCACTGGCCGTGCGGAGGTTCGGCAAGGAGTTAGGCGGGATGCTTAGGCTTAGTCGAGCCTGATCAGTACCAAGCTGTGCTTTCTGGTTTCAGGTTTACGTCTCAAGGTTTTTCCTACTAAAGCCGACGCCCCAAGCCCTGTAGCCAGCACGAAGACTGTCAGAGACAAACACCAAAACCGAGGTGTGCACTGCTCATGCTAGTAATTAGTGTTGATGCCAGTATTGCTGCCGCTGCTTGTGTGTTCTTGTAAGGCCAAGGCGACAGGCACAAGAGACAGCGAGAGAGACCGAGAGAAATGCCTGCGCGGGCATTCAGAGTGTATAAGTATGTATGTATATATATGCATATATATATATACACATATGTAGAAGCATCTCTTACATACTCACGTGTATGCATACATACAAAGTCACATACATATATACATACATACTTACATGCATACGTGCGTACATACATACATGCACTTGCATGTGCATCTCTCTCTCTCTCTCGCTCTCATTCGCTGTATCTGCATGTATCATCTGTATCTCTAACCCCAACACTTTCTCTAATCTCTGTGTCTAACTCCAAGTGTATCTCTATCTCTGTCTCCATCGCCATCTCTATCTCCATCGGTACCTCCACCGCTATCTCCATCTCCATGTCCATCTCAATCTGCGTCTATCTCTGTATCTGCACATGCCTTTATCTCTTATCTCTGTATACTTGTATACATATATATATATATATATATATATATATATGTAAATATATATATATATATATATACACACACGTATGTATATATATATATATATATATATATATATATATATATATATATATATATATGCATGTATGTATGTATGTATGCATGCACGGATGTATGTATGTATGTATGTATGTACAAACGTAGGTAGGTACGTATGTATGTCCCTCCTCTCCCTCTCTATCTCTCCTCTCTCTGTCTCTCTCCTCTACCTCTCCTCTCTCGCGTCTCTCTATCTTTCTTGTCCTCTTTCTCTATTTCTCCATCTCTGCGTCCATGTCTCTATCTCTGTCTGTATCTGTAAGTACGTATGTATGACTCATCCGAGGTCCCCTTCTTTGTGAAGTCTCTGCACCATTTTGCTGCGGCAGCTCCGAGGCACTTTCTGACGAGGTTTTCCGTTTAGCCGGGGGCTTGTGATAGTTACAGGGTTAAGGGTTTAGGGTTCAGAGGGTGGGGGCTTAGGGCTTAGGGTTTAGTGCTTTCAGGGGGTTCAGGGGGTTCAGGGGGTTTAGGGTTCAGGGCGCATGGGGTTTATGGCTTTGCTTGCCATGCATGTATATATATATATATATACATACACAACATACGTAATATCGTAGGTTTTTCTGGCTACCTGTATGTTTAGCAGTATTGCGATTATTGTTGTTGCTATCGCCACTGTTACTATTATCGACGATGAGTAGTTGTTTATGATTATGTTTTTGTTTTACTTTGGTTGGTATAGTAATACCAAGTATTGCTAGTATCGTTCCCGGACGTTCTTCTTATTAGTAGTTTTCTTGCTGTTGTCCTTATTGTTCTTCTTCTTGTTATTCTTATCATAACTGGCCT